TATATATATATATATATATATATATATATATATATATATATATATATTTAGCCTTTTCTGTTATTTTTATTTTTTCTCATAGAAAATGAACTGAGCTCATTTTCCATCCTTCAGATCTTTAGATCAGTTTACAACCTTTCAGCTTCTTAAGCTTCCTTCTGCAAATTTAAAATATTTTTCAGCTACTTCCAGCTGTTTTGTGCTCCTTTCAGATTATTTCTGTTAACTACAACATTTTTCTGCTTCTTACTTCTTTCTGGTGATTTCAGCTTATGCTCATTTCAGCCTATTCTGCAAGCTTCACCTTTTTCAGCTATTTCAGCTACTATTAAGCTGTTTTTATGCTAATTTTAGACTTTTCACATTTTTTAACTCATTTAAACTTTTTTCAGTCCAATTCAGCAAAAATGTACTCTCTCCTCTTCCTTCTGCTTTTTAGCTACTTTTCAGCTGTTTTTTTTTTATTTCAGCTTTTTTCAGATAATTACCACTTTGTGTTCATTTCTGCTTCTTTCAGCCTAATTGAGCAAACGTGTTTCTTCTGCTAATTCCTTTTCAGCTACTTGTTTGCATTTTTGCAGCTAATTTCAGATAAAGTCAAGTTTTTCTGCTACTTTCCGCCTAATTAACTTTATGCTAATTTCAGTTCTTTTCTGCTGGTTTCAGTTTTTTCTATTTCAGCTACTATATAGCTGTTTTATGCTAATCGTAGCTTTTTCAGCTAATTCCACATTTTTTAGTTAATTTCAGCACTTTCCACTTCCTTCTGGTAGTTTAAGCTTCTTTCTGCCTTTTCAGAATTTTTTTTTTTTTTTTACAAATTTTCTAAATTTTGTGCACATTTCTGCTTATTTATACCTAATTTACCTAAAACCTAATGGGATTTACCTGTATAAATAAAGGTTGATTGATAATTCAGCAAATATATGTTGTTTCCGTTTTCTTCTACTAATTTTGGCATGTTCTTCTCTTTCAGCTACAATTGAGCACGTTTTTTTTTTAAGCTAATTTCAGCTGTTTTTCAGCACGTTCTGAAATGAGCCTTGGCGCTGCATTTTCACAGGAAATGCAGTTGCTCTAGTTTAGATTTTACTGCTGCAAACTTCAGCTGCGTTTTATTGTAAAAGTTCTCTCCCTGAGCTCAACACCAAATGTGAGAAGGAGAAACCTCAACGACCACCTGCTGACAGTTAAACAAACCTTGATCTTTTTGATGGCTTCAACCTGCACCGAGTCGTTGTCCAGCATCCTCAGTATCGTCTCCAGCATTCGGATGTGGTACCGATGCTTCTCGATGAACTTTTTCAGCTCCTCGATCCGATCCTGCTTCTGTAAAACAGGAACGGGGTCAGGCAGGGAAAAGGAGGCGGCAGGCGTGAATGTTTTTCCGAAGTAAAATGTAATTACCGGTACTTTTGTTGTGTTTAAACGAATGTTGTCGCTAGTACACGTGTTAATAAATAAGCTATAGAACGACACATTTCACAGCAGAACATAAACCAATAAATATTTACTGTAACAACGAGGAAGAATCATATAACGGAGGGAGCATGAGTTGCTTCTGTATGTGGATGTTACAGCCTCAGGCATGATCTACTTCTGATCTCAATATTTAATCAAACTAGTCCTTTTCCAGTAATTTCCACGTACAACCGGAGTGGTTTATTCTCCAACTGTGCTTCAGGGCATGTATGAACAAAACTAAACATAGCTGGATAAACTGATATAAATAAAACGCAGCAGCTCTTCAACGCACGAGATGAACACTCGTGACCGATCAGGTGCAGCCGGACTGCATCAGGCCAGTCTAAGAATATGAACGTGTTCATCTCGGCTTATTAACGCTACAACGGTAAAGGATTCTGTGCAGATAAGTCGTTGATTCAACAGGACCAAGTTGAACCTTTTCAGTAAAAAAAGGAATCAATCGGTCAAATTGAGTCTAATGTAGAAAATAAGCACTCGAACACAAGCAGAGAGCAACGGTAGTTCACTAAAAAATTTAAACTTGAAGGAGGAACAAGTCTGAAACGTGCTTCTATTTTCAACCTTATAAAAAGTACAGAGGAAAATCACTTTAGAGACAGTCCCCCTGTCTATAAACATCAAGGATGTTGATTCAAAAGCAAAAAAACAATCAACTCTAAAGAATGAGACCAACTCCTGTACACTGGTGCTGTAATATCCCTATTAACTAATTCAACACTATTTCAATACCATGCTATTAGGTTAATTCATACAGACTAAGTAATATTATGTTTTATTTTTATTTACAATTAAAAGTGCTTTTGAACACTTGAAAATTTAACGCTTGCAGTTTCTTACAGTTTAAGGTAAAATATTGGACATGTTTACAGAATGATGAACTTACAGGCCTCTTGTTTTCTCCAACAACTAACGATCCATGAAACACATCAGGAACTACCATATTTTTTGCCGTCAACGTCGCACAGCCCTATAAGTCGCATCAGTTCAAATACGTCTAATAAAGTGGAAAAATCCATAAATACGTTGCATCTATTACGCGTCACCGCTGACGACCTGGAAACGTGGGCCGGTGTTGTGCCACAAATCGATTGGCTGCCAAATGGCGGCCGCAGAAGCGTGCACGGGGGGACTTTAACAAGAATTTAACAAGATTAACACTTAAAAACAATTATTTGTTTGCTCGACGTTATAGCAAAGGTGTGTCTCAGTAAAACTTTTACTTAATAAATGCACTTTAATGGTTAAATTAGCTGCATTTCACCGGGGCGGCGCAGCGAAATGATTCTGATTTGACAGTTGCTCTAGGCAGACGACGGTGGCAGGCTATGGCAAGCCGATTGTCATTAAAAGCTACTTTTACCTACATGATACAATGGCATGCCATACTACTTGACTTCCATCTAGCAGCTGAAAATGGCAGTGTTCAATATTTTCAGTCAGAATGAATGAAAACGGTCATATCTCAGCTAAGAATTGGTTTATAAATATTGGAAACAAATCCATAAATAAGTCGCTTCAGTGTATAAGTCGCAGGGCATGTAAATTATGCAAAAAAACCCGCAACTTATACGTGAAACATACGGTAAACAAATTGGATAAATGGTGTTTTTATGGCAGCAGAAGCTGAGTAAGTCAGGAAAGGACTGGAAAGTCCTTAAACATCACAAGAAACCTCCTGTTCAGCAGCAGATCTGATCAAAATTTGTGACGGATATCAAAACATCGGCGTATCAAATATATTTGTCAATAAAGAAAATATTCTGGTTTTATTACCGTACACTACCTCCACGAGCCAGAAAGGAAGAAGCAGGTAAAAGATGGATATTGATCATAAAAGCATTTTTTATTACCAAGTGGTTATTTTTTCAGGAAAGATAAAAAAAAAGAAGAAATTATCTGTTAGAGACGACTTAAAGTTGTGTTTTAACACACATCTGGCGCTCAGGTTAGAGTCTGGGGTTGCAGCTGAAAAGAAATTACAATACTTGTGTTTGTTTTGTCACAGAGCCAAACTGATTAGCTATTATTTGGTTTTACTGTATATACAGCAACAATTTCTGCTCATTCATCAGCATCAATAGAATAATAGAAAACAGAATAAAGTAAAACAGGCTTCGGGCTTCTGCTTCCTCCAGAGAGCAGAGAAGTGAAAACTTGTGATTTAACGCTGACGTGCACACAAACTGATGACCTCATCATGAACCAGCTAATGTATTTGTAAAAGACACCAAAATAGATTTAAACCTAAGCGGGTTTCATTTCGATGGACCGAAGCTAACCATCATACAAGGAGGACGCCCGCCCTGCACACCGAACTGCCAGCACTGACATAGCGCTAAGCTAGCAGCGCACAATACAGACGCGCTAGCTAAACAGCTACAAAAGTAGCGCCGCTCCGCCTCCCTCATACTTAGCCATTTCCTTTTTTTACCTCCCCTCGTGTTGCTCTTTTCCTTGTCTACTTTAGTCTTTCTGAAATGGGTCTCTCTTGTAAATGAGTCCTTGAGGCTCAATGGGAACTAATCTGTATAAATATAAGTTGAATGAATGAAAATACAGCAATTATTCCTAGTAATTAATTTTATTGTGCACCATCAGATAATAAAAGCCACCATAGGCAGACATGTACTCATCAACACTAGAATTGATAAACGTACACGTTAAAATCTCAGATCATCTTTAAATCAGCAGATCAGAGTTCAAATTCCCAGAGTTTTCTCTGTCTGGAAAATGTTAAAATCATTTTCCAGGTTTTCCCTGATTTCCAGAGAAATCTGATTTTTATTTCATTACTAATTAACTTAGTAACTTAAGTGACCTTTGTGAATGTATTCAGAATAGGGGTGGGCGATATGGCTCAAATATAATATCGTGATATTTCAGAGCATTCTGACGATAACGATAAATTTTGTGATAACAAAAATAGAAATCATACTTATTCATTTGACAAAATTAGCATGTTGCTTTGCGGTATTATATAAAAACTAAAAAAACAAGGGTTAATTTTACTGCAATTACATTATTTAGTAAAGTATTCAGTCTCAAAGTATAAAAATAAAAAATATCAATGATCCTTCTGTTATTTAGATTGAAAAAGTCTGCACAAAATATAGAACCAAACCCACCACAAAGCGTGAGGTTCAGCGTGAGCGATGCCTTTAGCTTTTTAGCTAGCTAGTATTGCGCACGGCTAGCTTAGCATTATGCCAGTACTGAAAGGCGGCGGGGGTGCAGTTCGGTTCAGAAGGCAGCGCGCCCGGTTCTGTTAACTGGGTGGGGCACCCTGACGTATTTATGCCGTGAAATTAACATACCACAATACAAATTATATTCTCGGGCAAGTTTTTTTTTATCGGTATTATCGAGAATGATACGATATGGCCCAGCCCTGATTCTGAACATCAAACGTTTCATTTTATTATAAAAAAATCCAAAACTCGTATCAGCAGTCAGGTCGAACGCTCGTTTGCTGGATGAACTAATTTATAAAACGATCTTCAAACAAACTTCGTGCTTCGAAACAGGAAGAGACATCCAAACTGGATATAACGTCACTGTCGAGACGAATAACCCTTCTGCCAGGTTGGAGATGGGATATGAATCCTTAACGCAGGAAGTTCTCTGAAGCGACCGCAGTCTGTCATCAAGAAGTTTTCTATAAATGATGTCCCCAGAGAGGACTAAAAGGAAGGCTCGCGGTGGTCAGTGAGATTATCTTGCTCAGCCCAGATACACAAAACGAACGGAAAGCCCTCCGTGTGACCTCTCTGCCACAGAGACGGTGAGATAAAAGAATGAGGAGGAGGCTACGAGGCTGACAAACCAACAGATCTGCAACGAGAAGAAAGACTGATTCACAGACGAGAGCGGGCTGACCTCTTTGTCTCCTTTCTTTTTCCTGGTCTGGACCGAAAGAGACTCCACTTCGCTCTCAAACTGGTCCACCTGCATGTTCAGCGTGTCTATTGTGTTCTGAAAACAGACGAGAAGGGCCTCATAAACTGTCAACTTTCATTTAGCAGCCTTAAAAATCTTAATCTTGAGATAGCTGTTGGCAACAAATGAACCAAAGCTTTAAATGACTTTAATTCAACTTTATTTATAACTAAAGAAACTTATTTTAAGTGGTCATTATACTGAATAATTACTAAATAATACAGATAGCTGGTAAATGCAGAATTAAGTATAATTTCTCACATCCTAACAGAAAAATAAGCTTCAGAAAACTAGTTTTATTTTGATGTTGTTAGAACAAAGTGTTACATTTTATTTTAATTCAAACTCAAGTAATCTAACTTAAACAACTAATCTTCCTTTTGTGTTTTTAAGTGAACTACATCAGAATAAAACTCAGCTGCGGCTCGTTTTATCTACAGGAATATAAAGTACAGTAGATTTATAAAAGCTGTGTACAGTTATATTAAAACTCTCATTTTTTTTACATTTAAAGTCTAGTTTCTGCATATTTACTGTAAAGATTAGGCAGAAATGTGTTCATATTATAAGAGCAGAACCACTGGTCCTGTCTCGAATCTTTATTTTGAAAGTCACCGTTAGCCACGTGCCGACTTCCTCCTTCTCCCTCTGAGCTGGATCCACTTTCTGAGCAAGACCAAGGCCTTCTTTCGAATATGCTTTCGTCTTGGTTTCTCTTTCCACAATCTTGAACCGCTCCATTTGCTGCAAGACGATCACGGAAACAAACCAAAAAACACAAAAATTATGATAAAAACTGTTTTTTTTATATCATAAAAACGTCCCAATCCACCACATTTGAATACATTTTGTTTTCAAGAAGCACATCTTGTTATATTTATTAAAGCGGGTTTGATCAGTATTGTCTGATTTTATTCATTTTTCAGACTTTTCTGGTCTGTAAATGTTTTTCTTTGGACTTGAGCTGCTTTTACTCTCATTTCAAGTCCTTTGATTTTGTTTAACTTATTAAACTCTCATCTTGTGATTAATTCAGCTGCAAAAAGGCTTAGGAAATGTTGACTCTACTTATTTCTTTACAGTGAAAACGTCTGAAAACTTTTGGTGTTGTTTGATAATTAAGGGAACATTTGTTTTTCATTTTGTTTCGAGTTTTTCTGCCGTTGCGTTTTAATAAAAGTTCCAATAAAGAAAGATCCCGCCATGAGCTCGTACTCACCGTTTCTATGAGTTTGCGGTTCTCTATTAGCTGCCTCTTGTCTTTGATCTCGTTGGATGCCACCCACGTCTTGATCTGGTCTCGAAGACGCTGAGGGACAAGATGAAGACGAGGAGGAAAAGAGGAGCGGGAGAGGAAGAGTGAAACATCAGAGGCTTTTGTGACACGTGCAGAAACCTGCGTTTAACGGTCATGGATGGTGAAAGTGGCGTCTGCGTGAAGCACGCTGGCTAGGCTTGGAGTTTGGTCTTCATGACAACACGGAGACGGCAGCACACACGTGCACAAACACTTCTGGCTGAGGAAGATGAAATATAACACTCGTGGGCTTCAGCAAACCATCCGAGCCGTGTTATCAAGTTTCCAAAAACTCGTAATTTCAGCAGTTTCTGTTAAAAAATAAATAAAATTCTTATTTACACTGCGCTTAATTTGTTATCCAAACGATGCTGGAATGCAAATACTGTAGCATAGATGCTATTTCCTGCATTCTGGTGTACTTTAACATGTTGTTAAACATCTACGTTTACCTCCATTTGATGCAATAACTATTTTAGAGAGCAACAAGAAGTAGCCTGACCAACAGCTCTCCTTGTGTGAATAGAGCACGCTCTGCTTTTCTAAAGCTATAATGAAGACCTGCTCCAGTACCACCTCCATTGCCACTGCCTTCATGTGCTTCAGTTCTCAATTATTTGGTTGTATGATGAGAAGACTTTTTTTTTTAAATGAAAGTAATGGAAGTAATTTACTTTCATTTTTTAATGAAAGTAAGCTGAGCTGTCTTTTCAACGTTTTGATCGTCTCGTGAAGAGTTAAAGCCTTTGCTGTCCAGCTGCGACTTAAAATTCAAAGTATGTCACATCGTAAAATTGTCATCATCAGAAAATCTCTTCTTCTTCTTTCAGCTTTTCCCTCGTCAACAGTCGCCACAGTGAGTCCTCATCCTCCATCTCACTCTGTCCTCTGCGTCCTCTGTCCTCACTCCATCTACCTCCATGTCCTCTCTAACTGCATCATATGTCTCCTCTTTGTCCTGGCAGCTGCATTTCTAGCATCCTTCTACCAATATACCCACTGTCCCTCCTCTGGACATGTCCAAACCACTGTCCCTCCTCCTCGCAAAAGTGATAAATGTCCGTCCTAGTGTTGCAATATTTCTGCAAAATAAAAAGTGAGATATTATTTATCGGTAAAAATCATGGATCAGATATTTGAAATCTTCACCATTTGCAACTCTAGTGTTCCTGGAGGCCTTGAATTTGTAATTGTGTTCAAAAATTAATCCAGCGTTGAAAGTTAAAGCAACAGTAGAGAATTTATTGACAGAGAAAGGTTGGACAATAAACACGTGCACGCCATCCACACCTCAATGTTAGAACAACGTTTTCACCAGTGCCTGTTCTTTGTGACACACATGACGTGATGATGAAATAATAAAAACTACAGAAATTGCATTTCCTGCGAAAATGCAGTGTGAATGCTTAGAACTTGCTAAAAACAGCTTGAATTAGCTAAACACAAGCTGAAATGTAGCTGGAATAGAAGAACAAGCCTAAGTAAGAAAACAAAACAAAAAACATATTTGCTGAATTATGTTTAAATAAGCAGAAATGAGCAAAAGAGTTATAGGAAATGAATTAAAAAGCTGAAATTAGAAAAAAAAAGTAGCTGAAAAGACAGAAAAAGCTGAAACTAGCAGAAATAAGTTGAAAGGATCATAACAAGCTGGAATTAACAAAAATAAGTTATTTAGGCTGAAAGTAGCCAAAATTACCACAATTTTTTTATTTATTTATCTGAAAACAGCTAAAATTTGCAAAAAAAAAAGCAAGAAATTTAGCTGAAAATGTAGAACAAGCTTAAATTAGCTGTAGCAAGAGCACAACTTTGCTCAAATTTGGCTGAAAGAAGCAGAAATGAGCAGAAAAAAGGAAATCATCTGGAAAAAGCTGAAATTAGCAATAAAACAGCTGAAAAAACAGAAGCTTAAATTGCAAGAATGAAGTGGAAAGAGTACATTTTTTGCTGAATTAAGCTGAAAAAAGTTTAAATGAGTGCAAAAAATGTGGAATTAGCTAAAAAAAAAGCATAACAGCTATGCAGTAGCTGAAATAGCAGAAAAAGATTAAACTAGCATCAAGTTAGAAGAAGCACAAATATGTTGTTAGGCAAATAATCTGAAAGGAGCCCAAAACAGCTGAAATTAGCTGAAAGTAGTTGAAAAGTGTAAGTTTGCAGAAGGAAGCTGAAAGAAGCTGAAGCAGAACAAAATATGAAAGGAGCAGTAAAAGGTTGTAAAATGAGCTCAACTCGTTTTCTATAAGACAAAGAAAGTTGGCAGAAAAGGCTAAATATTTCAAACAGCTAAAGTTGCACCAATCCCCAAAGTCATATTAGGATTGTCCTGAAAGAGCTGAATGTTTTGATTTATGATTTGTTAAAATAGCACAAAAATTGTGGAACGGGAAAGATGAAAAAAAAAAAAAAAACCACGAAAAACTGTTTATTGTGTTTTATTTTTCCATAAAACTTTGATTTTCCGCCTCTAAAAGTGGTTGCACAGGTAAGTAAAGTCAGTCTGCAGCAGCCCTGAGCAATGAACCGTCTGCACGATTATCTTTTCCATGTGTTTGTTTGTACACAGAACCCGTCGGCATCATTTGGTCCTGAAATGACAAAGCTTAAATCAACATGTGGGCGGCTGTGAAAACACACGACCTCAAAGGTGCCACTGGTTCCAGATACAAACGTGCAAAACACAGACTGTGGAAACAGAAGCAGGCTTACTGCCGCCGTACACCACGTTTGGGTTTTATAGTCCAAGTGTCTCCCTTGTCTTAATGAAGCAATCACTTAGAGGAACGTTTGCACTGACTGACTCCGTGAGAAGCTCTGGATGTTCTTGTAAAGACTCATGTCATGCCCAGGCCTTTGCAAAAGCCATGTAATCTCAGTGGGGTTTGTCTGGTGAAATAAAGGTTAATAAATAATAAGTACGGTGAAAATAGAGTTCAACGTTTTAGCAAAAACTAAAAAAAAAAAAAGATCCGCGACTTGGATGAACAGTTCTTAAACTGCTGCTCCAAACGATCCTGTTCTCCACAAAAACCCAACTTTAATAAATAAAGCACATTGATACTTATAGTTATTATCGTCAAGATATAAATTCTGATTTTGTTGAACATTTTAAAGCGCCCTGCTCTTACCTGGAGCTTTTTAATCTCTTTCTTGAGATCGGCTTCATACTTCTCCTTCTGGTTTGCGTTAGCTGCATTGTGAAGCTGAGGAGAGAAAGAGAGAGAAAAAGAAGGGATGAGTAAGTTCTGGAGGAAAACGGCAACAATGAATGTGCTCACTTCTTCACAACGAGTTCAAAACTCAAATTAAGACCTAAAATTAAATCAGAACACTGAACAAAATACCTTGTTTTCATTTTAATAACTGATTTTACAGAAAACTGTAAAAGTTTTGGCTCCAATAGTAATTCAGTTAAATTATTATTATAAAAGACAAACTTCTGAACGGTCAAAGGTGAAGTAAAATAATTGAATATGATAAACAACATTATCAAAACTATTCAAAAACAGCTACATTAAGAAATTATTTTATTTTTTTTATCGTGGAAATAGCATTTCTATAACTATTTTGGCTGTGGGTTTAAATAAAAGTAAATTAAACTAATAAAAGATTCACGGCCTTTTCATCGCATTAAAGTTTTAACAATTACCAGCCATTTATCAATAAGCAATAATTCAAAATAAGGCAGAATAAAATATATGAAACTAGCTGTTAGTTAATTATTATTTAGCTGAATAAACGTTTTTTTATTATTTATATTTTAGGCATTTTAATAAAATAAAAAAAGTGGTTTTGGTTTTAAAGTTTCTCATGGTTTAAGCTTTTTCCCACGTTTCACCAACATAAAATTTTAAATCAGACAAATTAATAATAGATGATCATTTGGGAATTCTTTAAAACATATTTATTGTTTAAAACATTTTATAAACACATTAGCAGTTTTGATATAATCATTCTCTATTTTTTCTGTTTAATGCACCTATAAACTTTACCAAAAGCATAATTTAAGAATTAATTAATCAGTACATATAATTTACAAAATGAAATAGTTTATTTGTTAAAACGAGTGCATTATAAACTAAGTATTACCTTTTGCCAAATGTCTTCAAACTGCTCCACTCCCTCCGCTACTTTTTTCAGACATCGATCTATTTCACCTGGAAGAGAAACAAAGAGAAATATTATATTTATTAAAGCGATTCATAACGTAAAAAGTGCCGTTTTAAGACATGCGGACAAACAAGGTAAAAGTAACGCCTCGTGCTCGTTTAAATCATTTAATTGAATCCGAGCGCTGCTTTTACTTGATGTCTATAAAAAATACATTGAGCGCTCGTTGTCTGAGCGGTTCTGCTCAGCAGTTTGTGTTTAAAACAGGACGAGCTCGCAGCCGACACGCAGTAAAAACAACAAACACATTAAAAAATGAAGCGCCTACATACCGGAGCTGACATCTCATAAAATATGCAGATTATAAAAGGCACATTATGCTTGTGACACACGCACACACGTGCATCCAACATACCATAAATGACAGATAACTCCCAGAATCCTTCGACTGCATTTATATAAATAGTTTACGACGGATGAAAACGGATTAAAGAGCGACAGGAAAAGAAACTTGTCGTTTTAGCCTTTGTCATCACCGCCGTTTCCCAGACTTACGCCAACCTTCGTCATGTGGTAATGATTATTTAAAAAAAATGCAAACAAGAAAACATTTAGTTTAGTCTAAATGTTTAATTTCCGATAGGAATTACTTCAGTATTTTTAACGTGAACCGGAACGTGTTCCTAATTCTTCCAGCTGGGAACTACCGTAATTCCCGCCATACATGTTGCACCGCCGTATAAGCCGCATCAGTCCAAATATGTCTAATAAAGTGGAAAAAACATAAAGTCGCTTCGCCGTATACGTCGCATCTATTATGCGTCACCGTTGACAACCCGGAAACGTGAACCAGTGCTGCGCCAAAAATCAACTGGCTGCCAAATGGCGGCCGTGGGAGCGTGCACGGGAGGACTTTAACAAGATTAACACTTAAAAACAATTATTTGTTTGCTCGAAATTGTAGCAAAGGTGTGTCTCGGTTGAACTTTTCCTTAATAAATGCACTTTAACAATCAAATCAGCTGCTTCTAATTCGTATAGGCTTCGCCCTTTAAGGCTGTCGCTTAGTGGGTTTATCCCGATATGCAAAGCATCGCACTGAAAAATTTAGTCCCCACCCGGTCTGTATAAATTACGTTAAGAGCGGGAAATCGGCTCCCATTTTTTCTTCAGCAAGCTAATAGCACTGTCAGAAGAACGCTTTTGTCTATTAATGAGACACTTGGCTTGCTATACTGGTTGAGAGCCCTCTAGTGGCTGAAGTTGGTAGTGTTCAATATTTTCCATGTCAGAAAGAATGAAAAAGTCAGACGTCAGCCAAAAGTTGGGTTATAAATATGGGGAAAAGTAGGAATGCGCGATATATACGGTACATGGTAGAAACTATATAAATTTAGCCTACGATATAGATCTGTCTTCTACCGGCTAACTGCAGTAATGCTGTGTCTGATGTAAAATAAGAGTTGTCAGTTTAATTGTTTTGTTTGTTGAAAACTGTGCGTAAGTGGTGTTAAAGTCTTTTTTTTTCTCGAGAGCTAAGTATGTTAAATATGGCCGGCTTGCCGTAGTGTTGCAGTATTGGGACGCATGTGCAAAACGCTGTGTTCCGTCTTTTTTTTTCCGTCGAAAGTTAAAGTAAGCGTTGGTCAGCTTTACAGAAACCTGCTCTCTGATCTGTGAAAAGAACGCTGTTCTTGTTCTTCTTCTTCTTGTGTGATTTTACTGCGAGACCCTCTGGTCAAAGCCACAGACTCATTTTGTCAGCTCTCCTTAAAGCGGAAGGAGTCGCCCTCTAGAGGTTGGAGGGTGAAGTGTTTTTAGTGTAAAATGCTGCTCTGTTGTTGTTCATTTCTTCAGTGAAAATACTGGAAACTATTAAGAGTTAACAACATATTCTTTTGTTTAAAACGTATATGGCTAAAACTACATTTGATATCTTTTGCACTGTTTTGCACTACAAAAAAGAAGCCTAATACTTGATTTGTTCATTATTTAAAAACTCTCTAGACCTAGTAGTGGAATTTTCTTAATTCAAAATAAAGTATGGCAAAAGGACTTCATATGCTTTTTTAAAATTCCTATTGCAAGTTTTATACCAAAAACATATCGTGATATATATCGTTATCGTCACCCTTCACAATACATATCGTGATATGAATTTTATGCCATATCGCACATTCCTAGGAAAAAGGTATATTAGTCGCTTCGGTTATAAGTCGCAGGACCTGCAAATTTATGCAAAAAGGTGCGACTTGTACGGCGAAAAAGACGGTAATCAGCTCTTTAGTATCCAATATAACTTGAGTTAACTCCAGCATAAAAATGGTATGATATCATAAAGTCTGCGTAAAAACATCAAAACAAAACCTAGCAGTAAATTCAAATGTTTCCTAAACTTTAATCTAAATATTTCGAGCCACAAAGTTTTCTTCTGCTGTCAGATTTCTCAATAAACATTAACATCTGACACACGGGCTTCACTGTCTGCTAAATTCAGACACACAAACCCACTTCGGTACTATTAAAAAGTCATGAACGTTAATTAAACAAGAATTAAGAAGGAAAACATGAAAGATGAATGGAATATTAATGAGCGGCAGGAGAGTCTTAAGGTGCAGTTTGACTACAGGAACCAGGTCGACCCTCGTCGTTTCCAGAGCAGAACCAGATCCAAAACAGAACACCCAGGGAAACATTTACCCCAGAAAAATGGATCCGACAGAACTTTACAAATTAGAACTTTACAAATTACCTGGAACTTTAAAACAAAATACATCTTTCAACTTTTGTAAATCTCAGCTCCAACTTAAACTGATATTTTAATTATTATATTGTTTTAGTTCTATTGTTGTTATTGGAAGAGGGTGTGGAGAAAAGATGCAGCTTTAAATAAGTCGTCTGAACAAACTCCGGCTTAAACTACTTTGGTGTTCAAATACTTCAACGAGTGTGGTATTAATAGATGAAAGTCCACCACCTCTCTAAGCCCATGTGGTACTTGACCTCGTCTTTTTCATGAATATACTTCAACAAAAATACATTTGTGTTTTTTAATGTGAGGGAGACAACAAAACGAGAAACTTTGTTTTGTTTGTTTTTTCAGGTTGAAATAATAAAAGCCAATTACCGTAATTTCCGGACTATAAGCCGCTAGGCCTGTCACAATAACAAATTTTGCTGGGTGATTAATCTTCTCAGAAATTATTGCGATAAACGATAATATTGGTTGAAATTTAACAATAATTAATTGTCAAATTTTAGAAGAAATATTGATTTATTTGGTGTGTAGTACCTTTTTTGACCACCGGATGGGAGTATAAGACTGTTTGAACCAAAAGATGATGGACTGTTGAGCAGCGTGTCTCTTTAAGAAAAATGGGAGGGAAGCCCCTTGACGTGACATGGGCTGACATGGTGCAGAGAAAAACAACTTTTTACATGAAGGCACGAGTTTCAACCGTGAATTTTGGAGCTTCGACAAGACGGACGTTTATTCCCGAGGTCGGCCTGTTAGCTTAGCTTCTCAGCTTAGCTGCTTTTCAGTAGAAGGAGAGAAACTCGAAGAAACGATAAAGCCGATAAATGAAAACGAGGTTGATAATTTTCATTAATCATGTGATTGATTTATTATCACGACAGGCCTATAAGTTGCTACTTTTTTCACAGGGTTTGAACCCCACGGCTTATAAAATGTTGCAGCTAATTTATGGATTTTCAGGGGTTTTTTTATGTGCTAACGAGCTTCATGCCATCAAAACATTTCGCCTCGTAACACCCGGGCGCTTACATAGCTGCCCAATACACGTCTCTCTTGGTGGGTGGGTCCTTGTGACTCAGTGAAACTACCTGTATAAATAAAGGTTTTTAAAAAAAAAATCTGATCAATGAAATTACCAAACGGGTCACAGTGGACCAATGAAACTTGGTTTCACTGGTCCACTGGGGGAGGGGGGCGCAGTGCGTAGGAGGAAGATGACGATAGAGATTACTTCCTGGTAGGCTACTATATATTTTTTTACCAGCCGTGCTACCGGCACTGTTCAGAAAAACACATCTACTGTACTGTGTGGCTTCAGATTCATTTTGCTGTAAATGTCCCCAGCATTAGTCAACGTGAGTCTTATTGTTTCTTTAATAAAAGTTCGGAGATGAGAGCAGAAGCACCGCAGCAGTGAAAGCCCGGATGTTCTGAAATCGGTGCAGCATCACAAGCCGATTTTTACACGCGTGTCTGACAAAATATTCAAACTAAGTTGGTTTTAGCAAGTCATAATGTCATTTACTAAACAAAGACGAGTGAAGAAAACAGAAAAAAAAAACATTTATACTGTTTGGAAACGGCTCAAACCAGTGAAGCTTCACAGAAAATACATTTCTAAGTAGGGAGGCAGACACAAAAAGATATTTTTTAGATTTTTAACATGTAATCAGGAATAATATGTTTGAAACAACAAGCATCTTCTTAGACATCTTCTCTACCACAGATGTCAGGATTGATGTCCGCTCAAAAATGTATGTCCAAAATAAATCACTTAAAATGATCCTGAGTCTCAAACCGACACTTCAGCACAGTTTCAACCTGTCATGATCAGTTAATAAACATTATTAAAACAGATTTAACTAACGTACGTGTTAAGACACCTCAGTGGTGCTGCGATGTGGTAAGGAAAATAACTGTTTTGTTTACGCCATCCTTGCCCTGTTTATTACAATACACTGCATTGAATTACAGTTACAAAGAATTGACTTTAACTAGATTTAAATCTTTTTTTGGACTTTATTGTAATCATGACTCGGGCTTAAATATAGCAAAAGGTAAATAAAAATAAGTGTGCTTTTTAGAGATGCACGATATTGTATGATATTCGTGACAAAGTTAAATATCGGACAGTCCATCAAAATAATTCACCGATATAAAAGGTGCTGTTTTTTTATATATATTATATATCTATATAGTGTTAGATCATTTACAGCCCCCTTTTTGGCATCTGCATTTGTTAGCAGGCCAAACTGACAACGATCATGCAGAATAATAATTTTAATTCCACCGCAGAGAAAGCTGTGTAGTCTCTGCAAGTCGTCTAGGGGGAAAAATATCGGTATCGGCCAAATAAGTTTTAACATATCGGCCAAAAATCTAATATTGTGCATCCCTAGTACTTTTTATTCTTTAACAGTGAATGTAATATTACTGATACTGGTAATTTGCAGTTGTTTTATTACAACCATTGTAGCTGCATTGGTGCAATGTTTGCACGTCTGTATTGATATGCTAATAAGCTAAGTGATACGTGGCTACAACCGATATACAACAAGAAAGATCAGGTGAACTCAGTGACCTCGATCAGGGTGGAAATTTACCTAGCAGGGAATTTTAAATAACACACAGCAAAAGCTCAGTTTTGTTGAATATACTTCTCCCCAAAAGTAGAAATCAAATGCGCTATTTTAGATGTTGTTTTTGTAGTAAAAACTGGTAAACAGCTGAAGCCAAAAACCTGTGACCTGGCATGAGGACAGCTTACGCAACGTACTTGTGAGCTCATGTGATTTTATTTACAAAGTCTGCTTCGGCTTAAACCAAACACCAAAATCCACTTTAAGCTGAAGTAGGTGCGATGACACTGTAACAACATCCAGAGATGATGCTGGATGTTTGTCCTGACATCACCGGAGCGACGCACCATCAAATCACAGCAAAACAAAGCACAGACACTCTCACACGCTTCTGCGCAAACGCGCCGCTTCTTGCGCTGACATTTGAGGTAAACCTCACCCATCTGGCACCGGATCAGCCCGAAACAAATCCCAACACTTATCTGCATCAAGTCAGGTGTTTTTAAGAGCCGTGCACACACGAAAACAACAAGCACGCAGAGCTCGGTTAGAAAGCTCACCTTGAAGTTTCCTTTTATCGGCCATGACTGATGACTAAGATGATGTCTTCATGCCTTCTCTCACTGCAGGAAACAGAAAATATGAAATCAACGGTTCAGTAAAACGAGGATAATGTTTGTTCATAACACACTACAACATAGACAGGGCTCAGACATCATCACAGAAAAAAGCCAGCGCTTGTAAAACGTCTTTTTTCTTCCTGCTGCTCCCAGTTCAGATCAAGTGTCTTTAAACTGTGACCACAGTGGACTTTAAGGCACCTCGAGACGTATACCGTATTTTCCGCCATACACGTCGCACCGCTCTGTAAGTCGTATCAGTTCAAATATGTCACAGTGGAAAAATCCATAAATATGTTGCTTTGCCGTATACGTCACATTTATTACGCGTCACCGCTGACAACCCAGAAACGTGGGCCGGTGTTGTACCAAAAATCGATTGGCTGCAAAATGGCGGGCACAGGAGGAATTTAACAAGATTAACACTTAAAAACAATTATTTGTTTGCTTGAAATTATAGTAAAGGTGTGTCTCAGTTGAACTTTCCCTTAATAAATGCGTTTTGACGGTCAGATCAGCTGCATTTCATGGGGGCAGCGCAGCGGAATGACGCTGATTTGACGGTTGCTCCATGAGCTGGACGAAGGTGGCAGGCTATGGCAAGCCGACTGTGTCAATAATATCCACTTTTACCTATTACAGCATGCCATACTACTCGAGTGTCATCTAACAGCTAAAAATTGTAGTGTTCAATACATTCAGTCAGAATAAATGAAAACGTTCATATCTCAGCCAAGAATTGTTTTATAAATATGGGAAAAAATCCATAAATATGTTGCTTCGGCGTATAAGTTGCAGGGCACGCAAGATATGCAAAAAAACAAACGCAACTTATAGGCTGAAAAATACGGTAGTTTGAAGGCTGCCGGGTCAATCCATGCCAACTCAGACTCTCTCGGGTCGGGTCATGGACTTCCTTTGAAGAATTCAAGCGAGGACTTCCACTCTGTTCCAAGGAGCTTCTAAAATATTAAAACTCGACTCTAAATACTTCATTTTTTGTTAAACTTCTTTTTGAAGTCCTGACTTTTTCAGTTGCATTTCATATTTTATGTGAAAGTAACAGTAGAAGAATTATAGATTGCTCTTTTGGTCTGAATTTGGTTGAAACTTGCAGAGAAGAACCACCGGAAGACTTCACGTTGTATCTCACTGGGCTGCGACTGGTGTCGACCAGTTAGCAAACAGAATTTCCAAAATACCTCAAACTGTTTGCGGCGGTCCTCGGAGTTATTTTGGGAGTCCCAAACCCTTTTGGATTTAGTTTCTGTAACTTCTAGAGAATGTGCGGGTAAAAAGAGAAGCATTCAAAGCTGCAGCCCTGAATGTTTAGATGGAAGAACACGCCGATAATAAATTATTATTATTATTATTAAAGCTGACTGTCTTTCAAAAGTGTCCTCCAGATGATTAAATTATAAATGTAGGAGCAGCTGCCAGGGTGGGTACAAATCAAGCGACAGAGAGTATGTGATCTGAGGCGGGAAATGAATAACTATGGTGCCTAGATCACAGTTTTGTGAGCCACGTGGAAAAAAATTAGGCTGTGATTTTCTATAACTGGTTGCTCAAATTACCCATAATGCTCGCTGATAAACTAACAAATCAGTAACACGAGGGTTAGAGACGATCATTTTCTAGTAAATTTCAGTTTTTTGAGTCACCAATTAGTCTCTGACAGTGGCAGCCCAGTGAGATAAAACTTCCCAAACATACATCCATCATCTTTACCCACTTCTTTCATTCTGGGTTGCGGGGGGGTCACTGGTGTCCATATCCAGCAGTCGCAGTGTGAAGGAGGGGGACGCCCAGGACGGATCGCAAGTCCATCACATGGACAGTAAGACACTCTCTCGCTCACATTAGGGACAATTTAGAGTTACCAATCAGCCTAACATGCATGTTTTTAGTCTGTGGGAGGAAACCGGAGTACCAGGAGAAAAGCCATGCATGCACAGACAGAACATGCAAACTCCACCCAGAAAGGCCCCTGGCCGGGATTGATCTGGCAACCTTCCCTGAGAGGCGACAGCTCTACCAGCTGAGCCACCATGCCGCCACGTCCCAAGCAGTGGCTCTTCATTTTTTTTTTTATCATATTAAAATCAATCCAGATAAATAAACTAACACTGAAAAAGAAACATTAAAATCCTATTATGTGTTTTTATTATAAATATGATGTATTTGAGTCTGCAACCCAGAAAAAGTGACGTGATCACTTCAGGCTAAACTTTACCTTGAGTGAAAACAATCGGTGTGTTTTTGGTAATTTAATGCTCTGATGCAAACGAGTTTAATTTGAAAAGCAGGTAGGACAGGTACGCTGGCAGGGCAGTGTGGCTTCATGCGTATTGGCTACCTTCCTTTCAGTCTGCAAATCAACCAAAACACTAAAAACAACGACAAGTGAAGTGAAAACTCCCGTTTCGTTACGTTTAGTGTTAGCTTTATTCAGTGCACCACCAGAGTCCTCACTGCTCTTTCAGGACAATCCAGAACAATTTATTACCAGCTCAAGAGTCATGAGGAGCTCAAGGTGTTTTATCAAGAATCCTACAAGTTTATCATGAAAAAGGTACGAGAAGATGCAAAATACAAAGAGAGAGTTTGCTGTAAACTGGGGGTGCATGAAAAAAATCTCAATTCCTAGTCCTGGCGATTCTGAACCAATAATAAAAAAAAACATAAATCGATTTTAAAATGTGTTTAAGCTTAATTAACTTAAGTGGGTAAAGATAATGGATGGATGAATTATTTGTTCCTAGCTTTTATTTTTTTTTTGAGGAAAAATCCAGGCAGCTAAACTAACCTAATCATTTAAGTTACATAATTTTATGCACTCCTATATCTGTTCCTGATTTTGGTATAAATACAAAATGACGCAAAAAGATTTGATGCAGTAAAGAAGCTAGAATTATTGTTTTAAACAAATGTTCTATTTGATTGCATTGCTGTTTAATCTTGTCAGTTACACAAGTTAAACGCTTATGACCATTTCAATAGGAAAAACCGTTTCTGAATCAAAAATTGAATTTGAATCGAATCACCAGACACGGAGGTTCGCACCCGTACAGTAAACGTACCAAACACCACACACACTCTGTGTGCGTTCAACAACAAAATCACCAGCAGATTTTTCATCATCACCGATGCTAACAAGAACATCCTACTTGTGACTTGGTTATAAACTGTTTTCCCTTCACTGCCTGTGTTAATAAAATATAATCTTCTCATCTTGCTCGCATTAGTTACCCCCCACCTGGCCTGTTTTAATTAATACGTCTTGTAACGACAGACAATTTGTGGTCTAAAGCAGCTGTTATCTGCAATTATGGCTGACATTATTGGAGCAGTAACTGTATAACGTCAGGAGTGAAGGGAATATTATCACGGGACTTATTCGAAGGAGTGCTTTCTATGAATTTCCAACTTGAAATCACCAGCAGGTAGAGACGGCACCCTTCAGGAACACAGTGGCTAAATGTGAGAGCAAGTAGGCGATCTGGTGAAATGATAAATTCATGCTCTAACGTTAGCATGTGTTTGGGATTTAACACCACAGGCTTTAACTGCAGGTCTGCAAATAGTAATAAGGTTTAATTTATCATTGGCAAACGTGCTTCTGTTAAATCCAGCTAAACATCTGATCCAACAAACAGATATTTAAACGTACTTCATAAGCCCAACTGCTGCTAACAAATGTAAAGTCTGGTTTTTTTTTGTTCTCTTCCAGAAAAGAAACCCAAACCTTTCACATGAAGCAGGTCTGAAGGAACAGCTGGGATGGACGTGTAACTAATGAGCGGTGTGAGGAGAGGAATAAACGCCACGCTGGCTTTACGGCGCACAGAGGCAGCGGGCCGGACTCGGAGGCCGTCCACTTTCACCGCTTGGACACAGACCGTAAAATTAAAAAAAAAAAAAAAAAACATTTTAAGGCAAAATTCAACAACTGTCAGGATGAGTACACAAAAGTTCAGCAGGTACCTTGGTTTTGAATTTCCAGTTTGGTGCATATTCAGGATGGTTATATTTAAGAAAATAATTATTTTATAGCATTTCAGTACGAACAGGTAGACAGATTTAGGTGCACATAGCAGTGGGGTGTGGTGGACAACTGAAGCTTGTACTTGGTTTAATTTACTGGCTAAAATTCCAACAAGAAGGAACATTGTAACATGGTTCTATTCATAGACTGCACATGTTGGGTTCTCAAGCTCTGATCTGCCTTTGTCCTCCACGCGTGTTCGTTGCATGGAAATGCAAACGAGATTCATCATCCAGAGCACATTTACGTCCAACCGAAAGGCCTGCACCAACATTTTTCCGTACCGCAGCACGTATCGTTACACCCCCGTGATCAGATATGACCGTAATAAAATGTTCATAAATATTCATTTTTTTAAAACATGCACATAGTTGGAAATTCTCAAAAGAAAAAAAAAAAGTATATTTCTGGACGGTTTCGTTTTGTTGAGAAGTTTCGTCTTTCATCCAAAAGACTTCATCAGTCCGAGGCGCCACAACA